AAAGAAACCAGGGCTTCTTGGATAAATGGTTGGTTCTAGGACTGGTGCAGGAAATATACACTATGACCCTGGAGTATCTTGTAGTGCTAGAAAGTAAGGAAGTGCTAAACACACACACACACATTCACACACAAGCACATCGATGGGAATATGTCAAAGGAAAACAAGAGCCAGTTTAAAGAGGTCCCAATGGCCAAAGCTGGTACAATTTGCAACAAGATAAAGCATTATTGGATTATATTCCAAAACATAAAATAAATGTCTATGAGCTTATACTCAGAAATAAATCATTGACTAAATTAGTAAATGGAGGAATATATCCATACAATGGAATATTATTTGTCAACAATGTACATGCTACAACATAGATGAACCTTGAAAACATTATGCTAGGTGAAAAAGCCAACCACAAAAGACCACATACTGTATCATTTTATTTACATGAGATGTTCAGAATAAGTAAATCTATAGAGACAAGAAATAGATTAGTGGTTGTCTAGGGCTGGAGGTGGAGAGGAATGCGGAGTGAATGCTAATAGGGTTACTGATTGGAGTGGCGAAAATGTTCTAAAATTGATTGTGGTGATGGTTATACAGCTCTGTGAATATACTAGAAAAATATTGATTTTTAACACTTTAATGAATTGTATGGTATGTCAATGACATCCCAATAAACCCATATTTAAAAAAAAAAAGAACTGGAGATGCATAAGGAAGATGGAGTAAGCACATATACTCAATCTCCATACCCACTCTAGAAAAGGAAGAAAAATGTTTGAATAAAAGAAAAAATTCATAAAAGCTCTGGAATATGAGCAAAATTCATATATGAAAGATCTAAGAAAAGATACAAATGATATAAGACAAGATAAAATAGGATTGGTGGATAAATATGTAGCCCAAAAACATATACAGGAGAATATTGAAAGGTAAGTAGGAGCAATCTAGGTGATGCTCCAACCTCGGTAGTATTAAACTGGAGAATTACATTCAAACATATAGCATATTTATTTCTGCCCCTCTAACCATACACTGGATCTATTTATACCATCTATTAAGCCTCAGAAAGACATTTGCCTCAAGGTGGGAGAAATGAATGTGTTTCCACCATAGAAGAAGGTGCATCCCCATAGCCATCAGGGTGGAAGCTACTTCTTGTTACTATCTCTGTTCTCTTTTTGCTTTTTCATTCCTCCGATACCTGTTTACTCAGGTCCTTATAGTAAATATTCCCTGTAAAAATCCCTGTACGGTTTCTGTTTTCCTGTCTGAAGCCTGACATACCCACTTCAATTTCCCTTGAAGACAGGGATGTGATAGCATCAGAAATCCAACAAGATTAAAATATTTCTGTATTTGGTTCTTGTTTATCTTGTCACTTCAAAGAAAATTAATTTTATTGAGATGGTGTTTGCCAAACACAAGGGCAAACTTACTTAGCCATAAGCATGACATTGGTATTTCTGAAGAAACAATACAGAATGGGAATTAAGAGGAGTTATTTTTCACAGAAGTATTTTCTGAAGAACAGAGGGATAGTAAGAGTAACTGGACAAAAAAGGTTAGGTTACTGACAAAGGAGTAAAACATTCATTGCTGATGAAACTCGCTGTTACATGACCAGGGAGACCATGGCAGGAAGGGGAAGGAAGAATATTTTGGAACAGTTCACCAACCATGGACAATGCCAGTTGTCTATGACAGATTTAGATGATAAGAGTTATTTGCAATTGGTAATATACTGTTTATTCTCATTTGTGAGCAGATATGGTGGTGGTTTTCTCTGTACAGAAAAAAATGTAAGACAAGTAGAAACTTCACCTTCTTCCATGTATTTTAAACAAACCAAAGCCACGTTTGCAGTATAAGCTGGATCACTGGTTTTCAAGCTATTGAAAATGTTTTGTCTTAAATAAATGCTCTTATTATCATCGTGGTTTTTAAAAAGAAAATGGTGATACTCTTTGGTAATTCTAGCTCATCTTTATCTCTCTTTGCCTACAATCTTCTTACTCGAAATTAAGTGATCTTTTAGGAAACTTTCAGCCCAAACATGATTCTAAGCAGTTTAACCTCTCAAAATGCCATTTTCCTTATCTATAATATGACTGGGACTTGAAAATCTGAAACACTCATCTAGTTCATTGGCGCCCTGGAAAGGAGAACTTTTATCACAGCCCTACGTATCTGTTTGGTCTTCACACTGTAGATGATGGCGTTCATCACAGGAGGGATTAACAGGTAGGCATTGGCAATCAGAATATGTACATCGCGTGGGGCACGTTTCCCAAATCTGTGGACAAATGACAGACTGATCAATGGAATATAGAATACAGCAAAAGCTCCAATATAGGAGATACATGTGTTGAAGGCTTTCTTCCTCTCTTCTGGGGATGCAATGCTGAGGACAGTCTTAACGATCAAAACATACGAAAGGAAGATGAAAATGGAGTTCACTCCAGCAGTGGTTACCAGAGCAACCAAACCAACTGCACTGTTGATCCTATTATCTGTGCAGGAGAGCTTCGTCACATCAGGGTGAAAGCAGTGGGAGTGGTGGAGCACGTGCCTGTGGCAGTAAAACAATGTTTTAAGAAGTACCACCATAGGAGGCAGGATTAGTGTGCCCCTGGTGACAATTGCTACTCCAATCTGGGCTATTTTCAGGTCAGTTAAAATGGTGGCATACCTAAGAGGATTAGAAAGGGCCACAAAACAATCAAAGGCCATGGCCAACAGCACTGAGGATTCCATGACAGTGAAGAGTTTAATAAAGAACATCTGTGACAAGCAGGCATTAAAGCTGATCTCCCTGGCATTGAACCAGAATATTCCCAACATGGTGACCAGAGTGGATATGGACAGGCCGAGATCAGTGGTAGAGGGCGTGGAGAGGAAATAGTACATGGGTTCATGGAAGCTGGGCTGAGTGATAATGGCAAAGAGAATCAGGCTGTTTCCTGAGAGGGCAGTTACATAGAGAAAGCAAAAGCAAATGGAGATCCAGGTGTGGAAAGCTTCCAGCCCAGGAACACCAGTTAGCAGAAAAATGATGGAAGAAGATGTGGTATTCAGGAAAGTTGATATATGGAACATAACCTGCAGAATTTTAAGCCATGAGTCAATCCTGAAATCATAAATTGGTTTTATTTATTATATATTCAACCTGAAATTAGTACTTTCACCAGGCAAATATATAGAAAAGATAGTATGTATTTTATGTAGAGAGCTCAGGTAGATTGATCAAAAAATAAGACTACATCAAACACAGGAGCAGAACACAGAACGATTACCTGAGCATATGGAATTTTAACACAAACAAATGGAATAATGTTCCGTCTTGTTTAAGTTCGCAGGACTGAGAAGTAATTTATTTTCTGACTTCAAGTGGTAAGCATTCAGTAAATTATATGTTGAAATGTGTCCAAAAGGAGTATGAAATTTTAAAGGGATAGTATATAGTGTACCATATTCTGATAAAGTAAATGAATTATTTTAGTTTCTGGGGGTCCAAAATAGAAACACTCCCTTCATCTCCCGGATACATTATTTCAATCAAATTTATTATCTTCATAAATAGCTACATTTATTGAGCCCCTACTATCTGTTAGTAGTTGTGATAATTCCCTTGAAAACATGCTATTTGCAATATCAAAACTTGAACTGTACATAAGTATCTTTCATACCACATAAAAACTATGAGCAATTAAGACATTTATACAGAGAATTATTGGAGTACCAAAACAAACAAACTAGTTGTTGTTGAATCAATTCTGACTCATAGAGACTTCACGTGTGTCACAGTAGAGCTGCTCCATAGGGTTTTCAGTGGCTGTGATCTTTCAGAAGTAAATCACGAGGACTTTCTTCTGAGGCACCACAGGGTGGATTCAAACCACCAACATTTCAGTTAATTGCCAAGCACTTAACTGTTTGTGCCACCCAGGGACTCCTTACTGGAGTACAGAAGGTCTTCAATCTGAGTATTATAGTTTAATGTTCTGAATTTTTAATCTTGCATCCTGGCAATTTTGTAGTATTGCATAGTCTAAGCATTATGTTCAAGCACGGACTCTGATATTTACCAGCTGAGTTATCACTTGACAAGTTATTAAACTGTTATATGCCCCAGTTTCCCCATCGCTAAAATAATAACGATAAATATACCCCATAGTATTGTTATGAGGTGTATGTGAAAACTTGACAGAGTACCTGACTTACCATAAATGCTCACCAATATCAGCTACTATCACTTAAAAAGAAAATTTTTAATTAAAAAACTATGCAAAACATTTATTTTCCTTCCTTTTCCTAATTCTAATCCCACTTCTTTCCCACTTATCTACTTGTATTTTTATCTGAAAGCTCACAAAACAAAACAAACATACGAATATTATCTAAGGCTGATTTAGGCAAAGCCCACTGGTTAATATCCTCCTTGTTTGGTTTCTTCTTCCTCCATAGCTGTTTTTCTCATCCTTTGTTCATTGTTTTTTGATTCAGAAGAAAAAACTCTTGCTCCTTTCCAAAGGCAACCCTACTACATAGCCTCTCAGTCAGTTTTGGACATTAGTGTAGTTTAACATCAAACATTACTAAGTGAACAATGGAATCCAGACTGTCTCTAGACACTGGGAATACAAAACCTGATTAGATATGACACTTGCTTCAAAGACAATTATTGAATAGTTAGAAAAACACACAAGTAAATAAACACACAAAATGTAGTGTGGTATATATAATAGTGGAATTGTGTTTAAAATACAGGGGTTGTGTATATTAGAAAGTGATTGATAAGTGTTGTTGAGGAGTTAAACAAAGGCTTCTCTAAGTGTAGGATACTTATGTAGAGGATGATAAGTGTAAACTGCCATTAAAAATGATCTAAGCAAGTCAAAGCCATGGAGTTTCAGATATTTTAGTAATGCTGCTAGAATGTAAGATATAAAGTACTGAAAGTTAGTGTTGGATAGGTTATAGGGATCAAGTAGGGAATTATTTTGTCATCTTCGAAAAGGTAAGGACTTTGGGCAATTTCTAAACATTGAGAAAAGAATGGATGAATAGATCTCTTTCTCCTCTGGGAAATAATCCTAATTATTTTTCCTTCTTTTTTTTTCCCCCTCGTTCATCCTAATTTGTACCATTACCATACTCTAAGGAGCCCTCGTGGCACAGTTGTTAAGCACTCGGCTGCTAACCAAAACGTCGTCAGTTCAAACCCACCAGCTGCTCCATAGGAGAAAGATGTGGCAATCTGCTTCCGTAAAGTTTTACAGCCTTGGAAACCCTATGGAGCCATTCTACTCTGTTCTGTAGTGTTGCTATGAGTCAGAACTGACTCCACAGCAATGAATTTGGTTTGGGTTTGGTACCATAGTCTACAAGCATGACAAATTCTTTCTCAACCTAAACATAATTTTAGAAAATACCTTGCTTCCCTGTTCCATGTATCTCTACCCCTTCATCAACAACTCATTGAATGAGCTGTCTACGCTTATTTTCCTCTTTAAATGTTCACACCTGTAGTTGAAATCTGCGTTCTTTTTTGACCAAAACATATCCTGTTGTTTTTGTTTTCTGTTGCTGACGGAAAAAAAATACTACAAATTTAGTGGTTGAAAACAACATCCATTTATTATCTCACAGTTTTGTAGATCAGAAATCCAGGCACAGCAAAGCTGGCTTATCTATGCAGGATCTCACAAGACTGAAATCAAGGTGTCAGCCAGGGCTGCATTCTCATCTGGAGCTCAGGATTTTCTTCTAAGCTCATGCAGGTTGTTGGCAGAATTTAGTTCTTTGTGGTTGTAAAACGGAGTACTCTGTTTCTTGCTGTCTGTGGGCCGGGGTTTGCTCTCAGCTCCTAGATGCTACCCTTAGTCCTAACCATGTGGCCCTCTCACAACACGGCAACTTACTTCTTCAAAACCAGCAAGAGAAACTCTGCTTCTTGTCTCTTTGAAAATCTCATATGATTCGGTCAGGCCCAACCAGGATAGTCTCTCTTTTGAGATTTTTGCTTCACTCAAAGTCAAGCAATCAGGAAACTTAGCCCTTTCAAGACCCAATTAATTTCTACTTTGAATTTTTTGTTGATACCGTGTGTTTTTAGTAGTGGAACGCATGCTGAGTCATTGAATATGTTTAAATTTTTGGTTCGTTAATATAGATTTTGAGAAATATTATGTGAAAATACATGATTTGTGGAAGTCTGTCCGGCCCACTGGTCTTGGGTAGCAGGCTTTATTGCGGGGCACCTTCCTTTTGGGTCCATGAGGCACCTCTGATTTTGCCTAATAACCCAGATATTTTGTTTCAACAAACTTTTCTTTCACTTTTCACTGTTACACAAGTCCCCATTGGAGGGAAGCAAACACTTTCAGTGGGAAAAGTGTCTCCCAAAGAACTCCAGAGGCATAAAAAGTGGTTGGGATACCATATGTTCCACAAGTCACAAAATTAATTATATCTGCAAAACCCCTTTGGCGTATAATGTAACATATTCACAGAAGTGATATCCTATCATATTCACAACCACCACTGGCTATGAATACTCAACAGCTGGGTATAATTCAGGGCATGAACACTGGAGGGCAGGAATCTTGAGGGCCGTTTTAGAATCTGCCTACCACAATCTTCAAGGCCATCCAGTCTTTTTAGAGGTTCAACTTCTGAAATGCCCCTTGATTAACCATCCTTACCCTCCAGTTCCACGCTCTTAGTTTTTTCAATGACTACAGCAATATTCTCATAAGTAATTTTCCTGCCCTGAATTTCAAGTGTTTCCAAACTTTCTCCATATTGACGCCTATGGGATCTTTCTAAAATTCATCTTCATATAGAGCCCTTCCTTGCCTTCAGCATGAAGTCAAAACTCTTTATCATAGCACTCAAGGCTCTTCCCAATCTGCCAAAATCCATTTACTGCTACCTACACAATCCTCTGCACCAGGCACTTTTTGATATATTCAACCTGGGCTTTTCTCAATTCACCAAACTACCAAATATAGCAAGTTCTTTTGCCTCATTGTGCATTGCTTAATTCAAGAAGTTCCCTCTTCTTTGAATGAGCCTATACTCTTTAGACTCTTTACATGGTCCGTTAAATCATTTATAAATTCAACATGAATTTATTTATTTTAGGAAGGATTTCGTGATATCATCTCCTCAAGTCAGAAGAAATGACTTCTATTACTGGATTAACACCCTTTTGTATTTATACATGTAGACTAGTGCTTATTTTATTGTTT